AGAGCTTGGTCATACTGTAGAATCCTTACTACGGTATGATGACAGCAGTAGTGCATCATCGGGCAAGGTTGCATTACATGACAACTACATTATCCAATCTCAGCGCAACTCCTTCGCCGTCTGCTCTGTACCCCGATCGCGGGTCGCTGACTTCATCCCGTGCACGAGCCCCGACCGATCCTATCTGGTCCTGGTCGCCCTTGTGCCCCTAAAATGCACCTCTGTCTTACCTGCCGTAGGGTTAGGGGACATACTCCAATTCTTCACTCCCAGAGAAGAACGCAACATGAGACAGTGCACTGGATGCGCGACCCCGGAACTGTCGGCAAACATCCCGTCCGACCTACAATAGCGACCAAGAAATAACCAACCACATCACGAGTCCTCCCACCCCCCAAGTTGGAATAAAGTCCTCACTCTCTCTCAACATCTTCCAGGTGACCGGCAATCGAACCCCGGCGGTGTAGCCCGGCGTCCACATGGGACTTGGCAATGCCCCGAAGGGCGCGACAACAACGACGGAGACGTCGTGACTATATTTACGTCCTGTGGTACAGTAGTACTGCACCGTTGCCATCTTCCCGAGATGTCGCGGGCAGGTTTCCTTCCGACTCGAAACACCACGCGCCAAAAAACCAATCAGAGCTCAAACCATCTTCCGCGGGTGATGATTTGCTCTCAAGAAACTTGTGGTAACCCATCATCCTGCGAACGACATACCAAGACCAAAACCCTGACGCGTAATTACGTTGGGACGGAGTCGGAACTGATCTTGCGATGAGCCTGAGGCCTCGACCACTGAAATGACGTCCATCCCCTCTTGGTGTCGATGCTGCTCCTTGCCGCGGCCTGGGGGTCGGCCTCGTCCGCTCCGTCGCTCTACCTCCGGGCAGCTTGTCGAGGTTGGCCATGCTGCACGACAGAGCCCGTATCACTAGTTGTTCTTAGCTCGGCTCCCACCGCGGCTGCAGCCACTGACGGATTCATCGGCACCGCTTACCTCACCCCGCTTGCTGCCGCACTTGTTGGGGTCGATAGGGTGAATTCGTTGGGGTCGAGATGGTGAATCCTCCGACAGTCGCAGGCCGATCGACTGCACCCCGCCTCCAACGCGAAGGCAAACCAGTATTGAGGCCCGTCCTTATGCGTAAACGTCATGCCTTTTGTCTTGCCGGAGCCCCGCCGCAGACGAGCGATGTTCAAGCTGATGGAAGGAGTTGCGGAGACCACCGGCTGCGATGCATGACGTCAGCCCGATCAACGCCGGTGGAACGACGGCGTGAAAATCGGCGGCAGCCGGCGGTGACACGTGCAATTTCCCGAACGTTTTCGCCGCTTCGAAAAGCTCCCTCACGCGATCGAGGTCCTCGTCAACGATGTTGGCAATCAGGGTGAAAACACTGGCGACGCTCATCTTCATGCCGCACTCCTTGCAGTGCCGCCGCAACATCGTCAGCCCTCGGCGCAGCCCTTTTCGTAGAACATCCACACGTTGTAGACCTTGGCCAAACTGCACGCCCTTCGACAAGTTTGTCGCGAGGGCCTCGATGAGAAGATGGAGGTGCTTCGGCAGGGAGATTCCGTCACCACTGTCGTGTTCCCCGTTGGGCACGAATATCTGCGCCTAGAAAAGCCGGACAGGTCGTTCAGCATCTCCACCACTGAAGTTGAAACGTGAGCTACGTCACGAAAAACGATCTGCATGTCTGCCTTCGACATTTCGGGGAACGATGGAAGCTCTGTGGTAGTAGACCATGGCCTGTGATGATGATGGCGGAGTTGCGCCACGCTTCATGTCCGCCTTGAAGGCGACCTGCTGGATGTGAGCGGACTGCGCGTTCACCGTTGCCGTCGCCCGCACCGTTTCCCCCACCCGTTGTTGGCGGCGGAACCGTCCCCACGATCGCCACCTCGCTGCCCCCCGCGGCATCTCTGTTAGAGATGACGCTTGCGCCATTGCGTTGTTTCATGACGACATCATGGTTCACGGTCACACGCCGTAGCTCCGTCAACTCTCGGCGGAAATCAGCAATGATATAGCGGTCAGTTTCTCCGCCACCCCCGTTCGCTCCGAGTAGACGGCCTCGTCCGCGACGGGCGACCTGGTCGCCGATGAGGAGCACGCACTACTGTACCGCACGGGAGACCTTCGCGATGCGGAACACCCAGCAGACTTGGCCGCCGCTCCTGCCCTTGACGCGGACCGTCCGGCAGACCCTGGCCACCCCCCCCGCCCAGTCCGCCCTCATCCTGGTGTACTCCCGCGACCTCGTTTCGATAGCCATCTGAAGCCTTTGAGAAATACAGCCCCTGCCAACCGGCGTCGGATGAACAAGTTGTTGTCATTCGACATACCACACCCTTACCCTATGTGAATCGCCCAAGGCGACAACCGTACTTGGTAGCACTGTCGATCAACCAGACCACCAACCACGGCCGCCCAACACTATTGATGCGGTTTGGTACCGGCAGTTACATTGTCGTTATTGTTGCGTGAATCGCCCCCTAGGTAGGTAGGTGTTTGTAGCACTGTTAACAAACACTCCCACTTAGCACGGCCACCAAGCATTACTGATGCCCTTCGGTTCCGCCAGTTTTTCTTTCTGCGCGAATCGCGCCATACGACGACCCTGGTAGGTGGCACCTACCGCGACTGCTCAACAACAGTCTCTGTGTGTTGTCCCCGGCAAATTTTTGAACTTCTTCTTGTAATCATGATCATATCACTCGAGGACTGATCACTATCAAGTCAGGAACTGCTGTCAAGGATCCTTCTGCTCCAACCAAAGCCGCATGGGTGCTGTCCAGCATGTTTCTCAACATATCCTGTCGAAACCGGGGCCTCGATTCTCACGGCAAGTTTCGAACAATTGTGTTCATTGCAGGTATTGCCCACATGCATTACTGGCAACTATATAAATCTCCCTACATTGGTTACGATTGCAGTGCCAATTTCATGAACCTTCACCATGGCATACTGCACGGCACACACATGTGATGCAGTCGCGTACTTCACACAGAACATACAGCGTTCGTATACTTCGGAAGAATGCATATAAACCAAAAATAGTTTTGTGTGTTTGATCTTGTTTGTGTGTGTACCTCAACTGCACGCGGTTGTATCGAATGCCATACAAGTATTACATATATACCAGCACACACATGTCATACAGCTTTCGCGTATTTGAACAGCCAAACAATAGGTTTGTTGTGTACTGTCTTGTTTGGTCGTGTACCTGAACATCATGCAGTTGTTGTATCGTTTGCAAAGTGGTACATATATATATATATATCTCCACCATGCATACGGCGCGCACGTGTCACTGCGTGCGGCACGCCACACGGAAGCAACGGGCCGGTGAATGGGGTGGTGTATAGAAGTTAGCGCCAAGTTCCGGTCCAGCCTCAAATGCTTTTTGTGGGCTGAAAACTCATGGTTGCGTGGTATATTTTTTTATGCGTATGTCAAGTTTCATTTTTTTTGTGCTGCAGAATCCTGCTGAACTTCTTAAAATGGAACTTGTCAAACTTTTGAAGCCCTCACGACTGGCGGCGGAGAGCGCCATGGAACCCATACAGCAGTGCCAGAGCCGGCAGGGTGGGGGAGGGCGCGCCGCAATAAAAACACCCACCTCGCCGTATGCACTGCACTACTGCGAGGGGGTCGGGGTCGGTCGCACTTGAGAAAGGGTTTGACAAAGGGGGAGAGAGAGAGAGAGAGAGAGAGAGAGAGAGAGAGAGAGAGAGGGAGAGAGAGAGAGACAGCTGAATAGGAGCTTATTCGACACACTCCCGTAAACCCTCGTCTCGTATATAGTAGGTGACGATCGCTCCTGTTTACGCACTGAGACGTTTCTTACATTGTGGCCCAGATTGAGCTGTGTTTCTCAACCCTATTTTCTTGTGTTTTCGTGGAAATTTGAGCCGTTGTCTCTTAAAATGTTGTTTATTCGCGGGCGCTAACTGCACTTGAACCAAGCATAAAGACAGCCGAAAGAAAGGTGTTTTCTGTGTTTGTCTTGATTGGTACCTCATCATGCACGCAGTTGCATCGCGTGTAAACGCGAGGAGCCTCGGCGTAGCGAATGCCTCTGCGTCCTCGGATATGCCCGTCTACGTTTGGCCTCTTGTTCATCAGAGTGTGCACACAACCACCAGCACGGCTTGCTGTGAATGTCTTTTTTGTATCCACGCTGTACCTCACGCCGTGTGCATTGTCTATGCGCACCACCAAAACTTGCCGTATTCTCAAAAACACCAACGGTGGCAGTCGCCGAGACAAACGCTACCGTTCTCACCCTCGATTTTACCGAGTCATTTCACTCTGCACACCTACCCCCACGACCCCTCGGTGGTGTGCACGTGCGGCGGCACGGCCGGCATTCCTCTCGGCGGCTCTGCCCACGCCACGCCGCCGCAATGGAGCCACTCGCTCGGCCCACGGACTGCTGAATGGCCCTCTGTTGTCCCTCACGGCTCTCGTAGGTGTAGAAGGACGAAACGTCTGTGCAGCTCCTGCAGCTGGCAAACCACTTAAAGCCTTTTATGTGTCCACCTTGCTCCTTGTCCCAGTGTTACCCTCTTTAGCACTCGTAAGACTCAATGGGTGAGCACGTAGCGTCGACAGAGTGTTCGAGGTGAGCCTTCCCCCGTTCTCTCGTTCGAGGCCCCCGTACGTTCGTGTCCATTTCCTCATACCCAAAAACGACGTTCTATCTAATTCGAATTGCTTTTCAACAAAACTTGATTTTGTTTTCGTCTGGTCTGTCCTACAATATATCTCTTTCTTTCAGAGCTGATAATCGCTGGCGTTGTCCCAGCTTGGAATAAGTGGAAAACACGCCTACCCTTCTGTGTGTACCCCAGCCGAACTGAATCATCACCAAAGTCAAAGTCAGGCTCACATTTTTTGTCTCATATCACGCAACACTTCGCAGCGCGCCGAGCGAGAGTTCATCAACCGTCGAACTCTTCGGCTGTGGGGGAGAACTTGGTTCCGGATGGTCGGCAGCAATTTGTTCGCATGTAAGTGCCGGTGACGGAATGGTGTTGAATGTGTGCACCACCTACAGTTGACGTCTTGAACTGCGGGCACGAGAGATGGGCCTACGTTGTGTGGATATTTAGTCGCTCAGTCTTCCAAGTTGAACGAGCCCAGACCAAACAACACGTTTTGATTGATCAAAACGTTGTCGGAGGACCTCATGCCAACAATGGAATCTGAGCTATAATCTGACATGTTGAACCGTCGGTTGTAGCATCTCGATGGCCAGACGCGTCTAAATAGTCTACATCAAATCATATTCCCTCTTGACATTTTCCTTTTCGAATTCAGGCGTGAGAGATACGAGAGAAGGCATCCGTGACCCCACAGGCTCCAGGCACCAAGCTCGATCGAGAGCGGGGCCAGTCGGCCCTTATCCCGTATGGTCCCTATCAAGAATTCGGGCACCGGTTCCTATCGACCTTCCACGTCGCAACTCTGGTGGTTTCGATTGGTACGGGGGGCAAGACGACGATGCCAATGCCATCACAGACCAACGAGCCTCGGACAGACGTTGGAGGTGGAAAAGAGGGCCTACGGAGAGTGCTCATCCTGTCCGTCCCTCCAGCTACTCTCTTGATTCGACAATCGTCGCCGTTAGCATGGAAAAAGCTGGTCAGACGTCATCGCTGCGGAGCGCGGATACCTTCGGCTCTGATGATGAACGTAGCGGCTCGAACGAGAGTGGGCCCATTGAGGACAGTCTCTCCTTCCCGCATTCCAGTATCCTGATACCATCAGCGGTGGTGGTCGTAGACCGTCAAGGCGATGCTGGCCCGTTGACAGCTCGGGAGTGTGCCAGTCACTTTCAGAGTGTCTCACTCAAGCGCCGTCACGGAAGCCATGGAAGGCAGAACGGAGCAGGTCTAATTGAGGATGACCTACCTCGTCGCCGCATCGGACTTGCCGCAGCGCCGAAGATTTTGGATGATGCCGTCCACAAACAGGTGATCGACGAGAAAGAAGCTGACCTGGAGTCTGATGAAGACGTGCAAGGAGGTCCGAGGCGCCGTCGGGGTCGTAGGCCGGGAGAACCCACAGAAGAAGATTTTCCGCTCCGCCGCTCGAGTGTCTGGTCTGTTTCAGGTTTTTCGGTAGACCACGTCAACAATACTGACGTGCAGTCTATGCCAGAACATGACAATGACCTAGAGTATTTTTCCAATGCACACGGTCCACGGAACCGTCAATCACGTGCACGGCAGGGACCCGTGGAGGACAGCTTGCCCCGACGACGCTTTTGTTCCTCCTCTATTCCGATGACATCGGTAGACAACTCTTCCATTGAAGCCGACCGGCAGCCTCTGCCACAGCATGGGAACGACCTGGAAGCTGTTGTCGAGGAGGATGGTTCGCAGCATGGTTGGGGTCATCGACGGGGAGGACTTCTTGAGGACGATCTGCCACGCCGCCGTTCCGGTTACTCCGCCACATCCACATCAGGGTTTGCACAACATCTTGGTGAGGACCCAGGCTTGCAGGCAATGCACAATCTCGACACGAACATGTGGCCTGCTTCCGACCAACAGAGCGCAAGGAGTGATCGGACTCACAAGTGGGGAGAGCCTGTCGAAGACGACTTACCCCGCCGTCGGTCGGTTTTCTATTCTGCTTCGACTGCATCGATGGACAGCATCAATGGATCTGGCCGGCAGTCTGTCCCGAAGCATGGTTTGGAGTCTGATGTCGATGAGACCCTACCCCAATGCCGTCGCAGCAGCAGCCGTCCACATGGCGGACCCGTGGAGGACGATCTGCCTCACAGACCCTCCTTCAGTTTTTCCTTCAGTTCCGCTTTTGCGGCGGAAGATCATCCTTCAGCAAAATATGGACTGCAGGCAGTGCCGGAGCACGGCGGCGACGCGCCCACCATTGATGATGATGTAAACCGTTCACGGCAAGGGGAACGACGCGACAAAAGGAGAGGACCCGTTGAGGACGGTCTCCCTCGTCGTCGGCCGGTTTTTCTCTCTACAACTTCGACGACGACATCGGTAGACAACGTTGATGAACCCTTTCTGCAGTCAATGCCGGAGAATAGAAATCGCCGAGGATCTTCGGTAGATTGGGCCGGCCGACAGCGAGCTCAGGGTCGCGCCCAGGAAGGGCTTGTTGAAGATGATGTGCCGCGACGGCGCTCGTGGTTCTCCTTTTCTGGTGTGGCGGCAGACGCCGTCAAGGCACCAGACGTGCAGGCTCGGCATGAACAAGATGATGGCGCACTGTCGGTCGTCACCACTGACAACAACGACCCACGAGAGGGACAGGGGCGTCGTATACCTGGAGGAGTTGTTGAAGACATACTGCCCCACCGCCGTCCCATCTTCTCAACCTCTACTTCGGGGTATTCGACCGATAATAATGACGATGTACCTCACCTGCGAAAAACGCATGCTGACGAAAGGTTCGTAGGGGTGGTGTCGGACATTCACGGTCAACGACATGGTCGCAGTCGGGATGGGGGAGCACTCACGGAAGACGAATTGCCTCGCCGCCGTCTCACCCATGATTCTGGCATGGAGGCAAGAGTAGACTGCGGTCATATATCTGGCGTGCTGGTGACGACTGATCATGAGGGCGATACCAGTGCAGATTCCGAAACGTTCGGTACCAGAGGTCGCTGGGCGTGGAACGGAAGAAAATCCGTTCAGGGCAGTATTCCCCACCGTCGCCCCGGTGTCTCGGAGACTTCGGTCGTGGGCGTTGATGATTCTGGTTCGTCCCTCACGCCAGAGCGCGACTGTGATAGAGAAACTGTACTGGGCAGTTTTGGGGGAATCGATGCAGGCGAGGGCAGACCCACCGGCACCGGGAGAAAGGCAAGTGGAGATGTCGGCAGGTCATCGGAACCCAGCAGAACGGATGAAATCCAGGGCCTGTTCGGAATGCCATGGGGATTTCCATGGGGAAAACCCACTGCAGTAGATCTTCCACGACGTCATTCCCGAAACTCGTCCGATTCAACACATCGCATGGGCCTAGCCTCGAAAGGTTCTTTCCGTCAGGATGGAAGTTTCTGCACCAGAAGAGATCCCAGCGAGTCCAGTTCGTTTGGCAGTACCGCGGCCAACCCCGAAGGGAAACAACAACAGTCGTCTGAACCCAGCAACATGGATGAGAGCACAGGCCTATTAAGGAGAACGTGGGGATTTCCACGGGATAAGCCCATTGCCATAGACCTTCCACGACGACATTCTGGAAGCTCGTTCGATTCGACCCACGGCACGGGCCTAGCCGCCAACAACGCGCTGTGCCGTCAGGACGGGGACTTCTCAACGGGAACTGATGCCAGCCAAATAGGTTCGCGGGGTGACATTATGGCTAACCCCGCCGATCGCTTAGGTGGGAGCACTAGAACCAGTAGCGCAAGGCAAACGGCGAGACCTTCGTTCCTTGGGTGGGCCCATGCCGAGCACAAACCGATTGAGATAGATGTTCCTCGACGTCGTGGGAGCCACTTCAGCATTTCTGAGGAGGGGGGGTTAGGGGGGGCTTGGCAGGTGTGAAGCTACCGATTTTATAGGTACCGGGATCTTGGAAACTTGTCTTGTACGCTTGAAGCATGCGCGGGGGCGATCCTACTTTCCCAGAGCCAGCCGCGGATGCCCTAACCCAGCGGCTGTACCTGGCGAGCAAACGGCACCCGCACCCCGAGGGTATGCGTGGCGGTTCTGTTGATGGTATGGGATGAAATATGCGCGAGTCTCTCTTCACTTCTTTGGCCTACCGCGTTCTGCATGTTTGTGTACCGGGCCGTACGGAACCTGCTTTGGGTATGGATCCGCAAACTACTTGGTGTCCAGTTCACGTACACCACGAGAGACCGATTTCGTGTTTTCGAGCAACGCGCACACGGCGCGCTCAGATGTCTCAGATATTTGCATGTGGGCGAATAACATGAATGTTTCTCGAAGAGAAGTACCGACACTATAGGGGAATGCTGCGGGAGGGCGTGGTGATGTTGCAACCCTACTGACCGCTATCACTCCCCGGAGATATTGTGCCGCTGCACCAACGTTCATATATATATCTATGTAGCTTGCGGCTCAAAAGGTCTGCATGTACCCATGATGTACTATAGTAAGGTGCTACGATAGTATCCTCCACGAAAACGGAGTATATTTTCGCCATCATGCTTAACCCCTGTGGGACTACTGTACTGCTGCTGTAGGTTTCATTTTGACGCCAAGAAAATTGGCGTCGCACAAAAAAAATGAGATAGCTAACGGGCTTCGGATGTACGTTTTGAAGAAGAGCTCATTTTCACTTTTTGTTGTAAAGAGGCCGTTCATGGCCGCCATACACATGAACTTTCGACCCCGGAAAGATGTTTTTTGGCACGAAGGGCAGCTGGCGTCCTTTCGGCCATTTTACGGTTCCTTTTTCTGGCCCTCTTTTTCTCTTTTTCGTGCCGAGAAATGACAACTGCTGGCCATAGGACAGGTTCACACGACCTGTGTCATGTAATCATGCGGAGTTCGTAGCATCAGCTAACCCTTTTTCATGAAGTTTTGGACAGGGTCACACGACCTGTGTCATGTAATCATGCGGAGTTCGTAGCATCAGCAGTAGTCGTTGTTTTTTTCATTCGGCTGGACCGGGTGGACAACCCGATGTGTGCGGCATAAACAAGGAGCCCACGAGCCGAGAGAGCGCGGACACAGCAGCAGCGAGCGGTGTTTTTGTTTTGGTGTGCTGTCAACCTTTCTTTGTGAACCCAACTTCTGGGCACCCTTTAGCCTCCCGGTCTGTGCCAACCACCACACAACAAGACGGGGCCATACGCACAGCTCATGGCGGATACCTTTGCCATCGCTGTTGCTTGAGTGGGGCGAGGGAGCATCGATAAACTAAAGATGCGACACGGGCGAAAGAGCGAACAAAACCTGCTTGAAGACGAGCGGGTCATTTTTCCTGCTTGTCCAAGACCCTCGGGCTCCCAATTTTTGAGCGCTTTCAACCTCCTGGTCTGTATCAACCACCGCACAAGAAGACGGACCATACACACACACACACACAGCTCATGGCGAATACCTTTGTCATCGCTGTTGCTTAAGTGGGTAGCGAGGAAGGGTTGTATTGACAAATTTTCTCCACTATCAAGACCTAGGGTTAGGGTTAGGGTTAAAGTTAGGGTTAGGGTTAGGGTTAGGGTTAGGGTTAGGGTAAAAGTAAGGGTTAGGGTTAGGGTTAGGGTTAGGGTTAGGGTTAGCGTTACG